CCTGAGACTTTTTTGGACTTCAAGAAAATTAGTTTTAATAGAAATTAGTGGTTGGGCATGGTGGCTCATGCCTGTAATCCCAATATTTGGGAAGCAGAGGTGGGCGGATCACCTGAGGTCAGGAGTTCGAGATCAGCCTCATGAACATGGAGAAACCCTGTCTCTACTAAAAATGCAAAATTAGCCAGGCCTGGTGGCGCATGCCTGTAATCCCAGCTAGTCAGGAGGCTGAGGCAGGAAAATCACTTGAACCTGGGAGGCCAAGGTTGCAGTGAGCCAAAATTGCTCCATTGCACTCCATCTCAAAAAAAAAAATAAAAAATAAAGAGATTATTCTAGTGTCGGCAACATGGCAAACTTTGCCTATACAAAAAATTACCTCGTCATTGTGATGTGTGCCTGTAGTCCCAGCTACTCAGGAGGCTGAGGTAGAAGGATCTGTTGAGTCTGAGAGTTCGAGGATGCAGTGAGCTATGATTGCACCACTACACTCTAGCCTGGGAAGCAGAATGAGACCCTGTTTCAAAAAAAAGAAAAGAAAAGAAACAAGAAAAAAATTAGTTTCAATAGGGTATGCTGTCTTTTAAAAATTATGTTCAGCAGATTGTTGCTGATAATTAAAATTCACTGAGATTTATTTCTGTATAGAGTGTGCATTCTAGAAACTTACTAAAACTGTTACATATGCAATAAATACATAAAAGAATTGCACAATGAATTCAAATAATAATGATGGAGCCAGTATTGGGAATGGTAAGATAATTGCCTTACTTTTCCTCCTACTTTCACAACCTGGGTACACATCCTCATCAGTATGTTTTATTTTTGCATGTTTTTTATGCAAATGATAACCAATATGTGATCTTTTATATCAGATTTTATTTTAACTCAGTTATATGGAACCTTATACAGAATGATAATTAATTCACTTTCTTACTTAGTTGATTTTATTATTTAGAACAGTGGTTGTTTACCCAAAACATTGAGCAGATAATCCACAGAGTTCCCGCATTTTTCTTCCAGGCTCATAGTTCCCTGTATTTTAAACATCTTGACTGGCCAGGTGCTGTGCCTCATACCTGTAATCCTACCACTTAGGGAGGCCGAAGCAGGAGGATAGCTTGAACTCCAGTGTTGGAGGCCAGCCTAGGCAACATAGCAAGACCCTGTTTCAAAAAAAAAAAAAAAATAGTTTTAAACCAAAGAAACCATATCGACTTTGTGTAGTGTATCCTACAACTGAAGCAGAATATATTACATGTGAACCTGATGAAAATTGAAGAAGCCAATGCTATTATTACCTAAAGTCCATCTTTTACATTAAACTTCACTCTTTTGTTCTGTAGTTTAAGACAACTGGCCAGGCGCGGTGGCTCACGCTTGTAATCCCAGCACTTTGGGAGGCCGAGGCAGGTGGATCACCTGAGATCGGGAGTTCAAGACTAGCCTGATCAACATGGAGAAACCCCGTCTCTACTAAAAATACAAAATTAGCCGGGGTGGTGGCAGATGCCTGTAATCCCAGCTACTCAGGAGGCTGAGGCAGGAGAATCGCTTGAACCCGGGAGGCAGAGGTTGCAGTGAGCCGAGATCGTGCCACTGCACTCCAGCCTGGGCAAAAAGAGCAAAACTCTGTCTCAAAAAAGAAAAAAAAAAAAGACAACTACATGTGTCATGTATTCACCATCACAGTCTTATACAGAAGCGTTTCACTGCCCTCAAACTCCCCTGTGCTCCTTCTAATCATACCTTCTCCTCACTCTTTTGCCATCCCTGTTTATCCCTGGAAGCAAATGATGATGTTCTCCTGCCTCTAGAGTTTTGCATTTTCCAGAATATCACATATTTGGAATGATACTGTAAGTGGCCATTTCAGACTTGCTTCTTTCATGTAAAAATATGCATTGAAGGTCTCTAAATATCTTTGTTGCTTAACAACTCATTTATTTTTTATTTTTCTTTATTTATCTAAAGATTTTTGTTTTGTTAAAGACAGGATGTAAAACTCCCAGCTCAGGTGATCCTCCCACCTCAGCTTCCCAAAGTGCCTGAATTCCACTTGTGAGCCACCATGTCCGGCCACTCATTTTCTTATTTTTTTTTTCTTCTTTTTTTTTTTTT